CACTGCCCAGCTGCACCCTGGGCTTGCTGTCCCTGTCACCCCCTGGACGTGGTTCCTTACAGAAAGCAGGTGAGCAGGTGCTGCAGCTGGAGATGCTGGGATGAGGCCTTTCCTGCTGAGAGGCAGAGCTGCAGCTCCCAGAGCCCTGCAGCAAGCCCAGGTGGAGCTCTGGCACTCCCCAGACAGGACACACAGCCTCAGCAGCAGAGGCTGCCCTGGGGGAGGTGCTAAGGTGCTGCCAAGCCGGCTGATCCGGCAGGAGCAGGGAGAGCTCTGAGCTGTGCTGTGTAAAGCACCTCTAAACAAAGCCCTGGATGGGGAAGCCAGGGCCAGCATGGTTAGAAATGCTCCCAGGGGAGCAGCCACAGCAGAAAAGCCCAGAGATGCCTCCCCACAGCCACAATGGCCTGATGAGCTCACGTCACTGTGACCATCACCAGCTGGACGTGCAGGGTGTGCCATGGGTGCTTTGTGCATCAGTTTGGATGGGTTTACTTCAGACCATCACCAGCTGGATGTCCAGGGTGTGCCATGGGTGCTTTGTGCATCAGTTTGGCTGGGTTTACTTCAGACCATCACCAGCTGGATGTCCAGGGTGTGCCATGGGTGCTTTGTGCATCAGTTTGGATGGGTTTACTTCAGACCATCACCAGCTGGACATGCAGGGTGTGCCATGAGTGCTTTGTGCATCAGTTTGGATGGGTTTGCTTCAGACCATCACCAGCTGGATGTCCAGGGCGTGCCATGGGTGCTTTGTGCATCAGTTTGGCTGGGTTTACTTCAGACCATCACCAGCTGGACATGCAGGGTGTGCCATGAGTGCTTTGTGCATCAGTTTGGATCATTTTGCTTCAGTTCAGTCCATTGGAAAAGCTATTTACTGAAAGCTGCTTCAGAAATGAGCACAGCACTTTCATCTTTCTTCCTTGATATTGTTACAATAGTAGCCTTTTCACTTCAAAATGTAAACTCTTGTACTTAAAAAGCCTTGCAGTTCCCTCTGAGCACCCAGCAGAATGAGGCTCAGAGGAATATGTTCTGGAATAAGAATATGTTCTGGAGTAAGAATTTAGGGAGTAAAAGACACAAGGTTACTCAGCTTGGTGCCACCAGAAGGTAAAAAGAAATTATGTCACCCCCCAGAAATCCGGGTGCTTCCTACCCTCTGGGCAGGGAACTGATAGTCTTTCCTTGCAGACTTCATTACCAAAGCAAAATCCTCAGAGCCTCTCCCTGATGGCTGCAGGAGCCAGCTCAGAGCCAGCCCTGAATAATCTCTCCCACAATTAACTCCCAGCATTTGCCTGGGTGGTTACCCATGGAGAAACCTGTACCAGGAGGGACAGGGCACAGTCCCAAGGCACAGATCTCACAGGAAAATGCTGATGGGAGGAGGGAGCAGCATTGCTAATCCTCAGAGGGAAAAAGAAGTGGAAAGAAGAAAGGGTATCCCAGCGTGCTCACTGTCATCATCTCTGCTTGCAGGGTTCCATGCCTCCTTTCAAGTGTTCTAGGAAAAACTGTTCTGCTTAAACTACAGCACAGAAGTTGGAGTTTATAGGCATTTATAGGGTAGTTTATAGGGTAGTTTGTAGGGTTTCAGTGCTGTAATCCCCTCCACATTTATTTTGTCTCTGAAAGGACAGTGCTGCTTATTGCACTGGAGAGAAGCAGCTTTTGTTACTGGGGAGAGGGGAGGAAAGGCTGCCCCTCCTGCATCAAGGATTTTCAAGAAGAAAACAAGAAGAAAATCCCCAGGCAGAGAGCAGAGCACACGTGCAGAGTTAGGGGGTGAATTTCAGGACAACACAACTCTGCTCACAACACCGAAATCCTGTCAAGCACTTTCTTGTTGGTAATTATAGGCCTGTTGGACAACAAGGAATAACTAATCTTTTTTAGTAACAAGGATTAAATCCTCTTTCACAGCCACACAGGCTTTGACTACGCAGAATCCCTTTATTGGCAATGAGAGAAATTACTGGTGGTGAGTCAAATCACCCTCTTCTAAGCAACTAGATTTTAGTATAAGCAAATTATGTTTTACACATTAAATGCCTATATTTATTATCTAATTAAAGCATTTTTCTAATCTCTAAAAAATAGAAAATAGTTATTTGACTATTCATTAGTTCTTAGAATCATGACAAAATCCTTCCTGAGAAGTACCAAGCACTGTCTGACTAGTGCAGCTTAACAGCTTTTGCAAAACCACTCAATGCGAGTGCTAATTATAACACAAAATGGTAAATGGAAAATAGAATAGAGGCAAGACAGCTTAGCAAGGCTAGACAGTTGTTTAATGAGATCCAATCTTGCTGTCTGATTATCTTGACAAAGAAAATGTGGGGTCAGTTATGGTGCTACACAGGAAATCCTTAAGACACTAGATAAAACCAAAACGGGGCTGAACAGACAAAGCAGGGGAAGAACTCTAAAATGGGCAAAGACACTGATCTGGGGGAGGTGCTGGATCCTGCCATAAGACCTGAAGAATGGGCTGGAAATAGCTGTGCTTGAAACAAATAGGGAGGATGAAATATTGTACAGAAGGTATCTGATAACCTTCAAGCGTGGGGTAACAGAAAACAGATAAAAATCAAAGTTTCAAAGTACAAAATGGGAGTAAGAGATCAGTAGTGAAAAAATCCAATATACTCCGAGACCTTGTTGAATAAAATAGCAGGAGAGGAGAGAATTGCAGGTATATCTGTAGATCATAGCTCATTTAAGTGCCACTGCTATGATTTGATAGTGAAAGAAGGCAAATACAATCCTCTGATGGACCAAAAGTGTTTTTTTGAGAGCTGACATTAATGCCATGGTAAAAAGCATTACTTGGTCTTTACTAGAGTGGTAAAGCATCATCCTTGTCCAACAGGGATTTATTCAACCTTGAACAGGTGCTATAACAACACACAGGAATCAATGGGATGACAAAGCAGAATGCCAGGAGAGGGCAGAGGAGGTTTGTTTGGATGCAGGGAGAGGTTGAGAGAGGATGCAGTTGTACAGCATGTGAAAGAAGAAATAGAGCTGTTGAAATAAAAGAGAAACATTTGTGTAAGTAAGCTGAAGCCTGAGTGATTCATGGCTCCCTTGTGGTTGGAAATTAAGAAGCAGTGTGAGTGACCAGAGCAGCTCACACTTGTCTCAGCCTGCCTGTGGCGTCTCCTCTCCCTCTGCAGCCCAGGCAGGTGGCACGAGCTGTTCAGAGCTGCTGCCTGCGAGCCCTGGTTTGGATTTCTGACCCTGGTGGTTCTGAAACAGGGCCTCCACATTCTTTGGGAACACAGAGGAGGACAAGGAAGAAAATTTTGAGATGAATGCCCCCCCAAATGAAGATAGATTAAATGAGTGTCTGTAGTAGGAGTCCTCCTTAGGAGCCACATCTCTACAAGGACCAGCTAGAGGAACCTGGCAGGCCGTGATGCTTCCAGGGGCCTGATGGAACTGCCCAGTGGACTCAGCCCATCAGGCTGCCCCCAGCACACTGCTGTGTTTCTGTGCATGTTTTTGGGTTATAACAAGTTGGGGTTGCATTCTCTGCTTAGGGAATTTAATAAGTGTTCTCTCAAACATAGAGAATTTATCCTCTTTTCAGTGTAACAACTGTGCCTGTTTAAAAGAGGTGGGGAAAGACACCAGTTGAGTTTTAGCATTTACTGGACAAAGAGAGATCTTAAACAGAAAGGCAGCCTAACTTCACCATGAGCTTATCACTCTGCCTTCGTTGCCTGTGGCAGTGGCTGACTGCTGCGGTGATACCAACCCACAGGATATTTTCACTTACCTCATAGGCAGCTTTTCTGGGACAAGAAAGCTGTGTACACAGTTATGGGATATAGCTGATTGCATCTGAAAATATACAATTAAAATGCTGGGGGTGTGAGTTGGTTGTGGAGCATCTGACCAGAGTTTCTGCCAGACAGAGGGAGCCATTTATACTAAATTTTTTTGCATCAGCAATGCCTTCTGCCATTGGAATGTCCTCAAAAAAAAGAGAGAGGGGGGAAGTGCTAAGTCCATTGTCAGGGTATTATCAAGAAGTTTTCCTGCTTTTGTCTCTGAATGGCAAAACTTCTGCTTCTCATTTATTTCATAGCAGGATCCCTTCCTGTGATGTGTGTGTAAATTGCCCTTGGAAACATTAGGAAAACTAATGTTTTGGGCTTGAGATCCTGTTTCTTCAGGGGTGATGGCTTTAACAATGGACTGTGGCACTGGAAATGTTACTACAGCCTGTAGGTTTACAAGGATTGTCTGCAGAAATTTATCCTACCTCTTGAAGAGCCAAAAAAAAATTGTTCCTAGATCTGCAAATCTCCACAGAAGCCCCAAGGCCTGTGTGAGCAGCACCTCACCACCACCATTCATCCCCAGAGCTCCCCTGCTCCTCTCCAGTCCCAGCAACAAGGAAGCAAAGGGACAGGCCCAAGTGCCCAGCAGTTGCTTGCCAGAGGATCTTTTCCAAGTACCAAAACTTAAACAGCTGTCTTCTTCACAGTGGTGGTGGAAAGCAATAAAGTAACCCATTTATTAAATGGTAACTGCTTAGGGGACAGTGGATGGATGTATAAACTGCATTCAGTTCATATGTAAGGGCTTGTATTGTAGATAAACTGCTTGAGGGAAGGAACACACTCATTCTCTTTATGGTTTCACAGCCCGTGATTTTACCATAATGCTGTAACATAAAGCTCAGAAAACATTCCCCACTACATTTTCAATAGCGTTATCACTATGTACTGGTTAACTCAGACTCCCTGTGGAAAAATGGCTTGTCCTGATCCTCTTGTGAGGCAGTGGGAGGAGCCCTCCCATGAAAACACCACTGCCCAGGTGGCACAGTCACTGCCCCACAGGCTGATATTTGTACTGAGCTGACTCTGACCTTTCTTTTTAGACATACAGTAAGAGGAATTAAGACACAAGAATTAGAATTAAGGTAAGAGGAACTGATGTGCCTAACAGCTATTACTTTTTCTTTCTGTCTTCAGTGCAAGGAGTTCACCTTCCACACTGGCTACGAGGTGCTCGTACAGCGGCTGCTGGAGGGGAAGAAGATGTGCAAAGATGTGGAGGATTTGCTCAAGCAGAGGTATTGAAAATCAGAGTGAAAAAAGTGTGAACAGCCTCCTTTTTTGTCTCATTTGGCATCTGGAAGGGAATAGCAGGCTGTTTCTCAGTTTGGTATTGTTATGAGCTTACATAGAAAAGCCTGAGTAATTTGAATCCAGCCTTGTGCTGTGAAGGTAGATAAATAGAAATCTCAAAGACTTGAGAAGGGAAAATAAGGTTGAAAGTGTCAGAAACCCAGAGCTCCACTAAGCTCCTCGTTATGAGTCCAGAAGCACACAGTAGCACCTACATCCACAAGTAGCATTTTTAAGTTTCCCCATTTGCAGAGCAAAAATGACTTGCACATTTTTGTTTCTCTTTGAACATGCCGTTGCCACAGGCACTGTTTCAGTTTCCTGCCAAAAATGAGATGTTTTTCAAATACAAAGCTACATAAAATGCTACCTAAAGCCTTACCCAGACACCCAAACCAGCCCCTGTTGCTCACCAACCTTAGCAGGCTTTGAGTAACGATGTTATAGTTTATGCTCCTGATTTTGTGCTTCTTGGTGCTTCCCAACAGCAGCTATGGACAGCTGACAATTTTATGGGTGAGAAAATATGTATCACACTGCTGCTCTGGCTCCTTTGCCATTCATTTTTGTAGCTGTGACTTAGAAAAACAGCTCTGAAATTTGGTTCTGTTTTTAGGTGGCTTCAGCAGTTTCAGCATGTAGCATGAAGCACACACTTACTCAGGCATGGCATGCAGGAAAGACCACACAAATAGGGATTATATATCCAGCAGGCAATCTCAGAGCAGCTCATCTCGGCACTGTCACCTTATGAATATTGCTCTGCCTTCCTGCTTTTTCTTCCCATGCTGTCCCCATCTAGTTTTTTGGGTTTAGGGTGGTTTTCTGAAGGCTGACTTTAAAGCCCTAGGACTTTCAAAGGTGTGTGAGTTGTCAGACTCAAAGGTGGCCATTTCACAGCCTGTGAATTCTTTCATCTAAACCTGAAGCTATTTAAGTTGCTTTTCTCAACCACCAGTGGAAGCCTCTGGTATTGGCACACATCACACAGTCCTGAAGTCACATCTGCCTGATGACAGCTTAGCTGCAAGTGTTTAAAATAGCTCCTTTGTGCCTCATACCTTGCAGAGATCAGAACTGCACTGCAGGTCTTGGGCAGTACAATTCTGCACCAGATGCTACACACGCCTGTGCTCCTTCCAAAATATTGCAGAGGCTTCTGAAAGTTGCAGGCTGAGGTTTTTCCTGGTTTATGGTGGAGGCACAAAGTTCTTTCCATAAAGAAGAAAAAAATACATGTACAGTAATTTTGCAAATATTTCCATGAGGTTTTTCACACCCCCAATAGATCGTGTGCCTGTGTGTGTACGTGCCTGTTGGGGGGAGGAAAAGGAGATGACAAGTGGGCACTGAGTCAAAGTTGTGATTTCCAGTTTATCGCTGGCAGTTTCTTTCAGCTCATCCTCACGTCACTCATAGGAATGACCCAGCAGAAGATCAAAGGATGGGATGAATCTCTCTTTCTAGAGGCTGCCCATACCATGTGGTTCATGCTGGAATTTCAACAATGACTCCTGCAGTCCTGAAAGCTGCCCTGGCCCTGGCCACACTAACACTCCATCAGTTTTCCAACCACTAGCCCAGAGAAGGGCCTAAGAGGTTTGGGAGTGAGAAAACAATTGTATTCCAGAACAAAGCCCAGGGTTAAAACACAAAGTATGCTCTGTCTCTGAATGGCTGCAGGGAAACCTAGAAGCTGTGTGCAGGAGTGCTGGAAAGTGGGAAAAGCAGCATGAAGAGGTGAAGAGATGGTGTCAGCCTCCAGTCAAATTCATCTGACCCTGGCCTAATCCAGTCCCATCCACACTGAGGTTTCAGGAGCTGGGACTGGCTTAAAATCTGGCCATGCTTTTTTCCCATGAGATACCTGTGTACTGAGCAAGCAAAGTGGGAGTAATTACTGGAGTAATTCTCATTGCTTCACAGGCACTGGCACTAAGCAAAGCCTCTGACACAGAAGAGTTTCTTGATACTGAAATCAGAAGAAAAATAATCTGTTCTTCTTCTGCAGCATTATGTGTCTTGAGTGTATTTCCATTTTGATGAAATTTCATTCATCTAACATGAAAAAGAAGTGGTGCCTCTGCATGGCCTGTCACCATATTTTGCACCCTGTTCCTCTGACAGGAATGCCAAGCAGTGATGTAGGAATATCCCACTGAAACACAGCAGTTCTGAGAGCAGCAGCAGCACATGCACTGTTCCACAGGTGGGAGCCATGGACAGAGGCCAGGAACACTGCTCCTGCTGCAGGGCAGTGCTCCAGCAGCCTGGCTGATCTCCTTGGGCTGGGGAGAGTCCCAGCATGAGCCTGCCTCAGGTGCCAGGAGATGTGGATTTGCACCTTGGCTGCAAGGCAAGGAGCTCCCAGAGCCCAGGGGCAGCAGGAGGGTGGTGGGACCCTCTCAGGGACCCACCCCAACAGCTGCCATGGGGCAAAACTGCAAGAGCAGCCTTCAAACTGCTGGAACTCAGCAAAGGCATACAGAGCACCTCCTGGCCAAGTGGGAAGATTGATGGGACTAAAACCCAGCAGGGTTGTACGGCCTTACACCCACATCAAAAGAGTACGTTTCTCTAAGGTGCCAAGTTTCAGGCCAAAACAGTTTGAAATGCTTTGAAAGCGCTTTTGAGAACTGGACCCCAAACAAAATCATCCCTCCCTCCAGGTGGTAGCACCAGGCTATCTGTTCATTATTTATTATTGACCATCCCATAGTTTTTAGCAGCTACTCAAAGACTGACAACTTGGTTCCACCCTGGTCTTGCCCCCAGGAGAAAGGAAGTAGCACACTTAGTACAAATACTTTTTTTAAAGAGAATAGAAGTTTCCTCCAGTGCTGGGGGAAGGGAAAGCAAAGGAAATATTTGTATTTCTTTATTAACCATGGAAACAGAGCCACTTTCCTGAGTCACCAGTTACAGTTCCCCATTAGGTGACATTGCCCCTCCACAAAGCTGCCCCAACCTCAGCACACAACCACCAGGGCTCCTTTGCCCTCAGCCTCCAAGGCAGCTCTTCCAGCGGTGCCTCATCTTTCTGATGGATGGAAATACTCCTGCTACCCCTGGCTCCCATTTATTCTCAACATTTCTTGGAAGGATCCTTTGGAACCTACTCTTCACTGCCCTCACAGACGGTGTTTTCATGGATTGAGTCAGCCATCATTTTTAAGTTCCTTTTGTTCTGTTCTGAACACCTTCATCTCATCTCTGTTCACCTCCTTCTTCCCATGAATCCATGGTTTGGGGGCAGAGCTGAACATGGCATTCCACAGTAATCAAAGCCATGAAGATGGGCTTCATTTTTATCTAATTTCTTCCAGAAATAACTTACCCTAAGTATTTCAGAGGTTAACTAACAGCACTAGGATTGAGGAGATAGAGAAATCAAATAAGTTGCATTTCTGATGTTTTGCACCTCAGGTATAATTACAGGATTTGTGTAAATGTGATCCTGGTACCACTAAGAGAAATTGAGTAAGTTTTTCTTTTAACAGAGCACAAGCAGAAGAGAGATATGGGAAAGAGCTGGTTCAAATTGCCCGAAAAGCAGGAGGACAAACAGAAATCAAGTAAGGAATACTTTTATTGTTACAAAATTATTTTGGAAGAAATACCAGACTCCTGTGTTTTGCCTGTGAATGAGGTCACAACCACTCATTTCAGTACATTACACAGCTCTTCACGATGTATAGGGAAAGTGGGGAAACACCACAGTCCTTCACAGTGGGATTCATTATTTGTGAATAGTCTCTATTTAGAAACTGCCAGTAGGTCCTTTCCTGAGATTTTTTTTCCTTTCAAGATTCTTAATGTTTAATATTTGCTTCCAAAAGCAGACCAAGTGATGGGGAAAAAAGAGAATGGAAAAGGTTATGAAATGTTTAGGATGGTGGCTTGACAATTCTGAACACTGAAAGACTGTGACAGAACAAATACAAAGACCCCAAAAATCAGCCTCTGCAGCAGGAAAAAAGGCTTAGCTTAGGAATACAAAATGTAAATTTCTCTGAAGGAACCTAATTTGAAATAATTCAATGGAACTACTGAAATACACTAAGATGACATATATTTTTCTCTGTCTCCTCCATTACTATCTTAAATGATGTATAAATTGTGTTGGGAGGGGAAGATAGATATTGGTAAGGAATTTAACTTAATAAACACTGCTGATAAACTGCTGCTATTATTGATGGCAGCTGCAATAATGAGACATTTTGTCATGATTGTAACAAGTAATAATACAGTAATAAGATGGCAGAGGATGAAGATGTGGGGTCACAGAAGACAATCCTGAAAGAGAAGACCTCAATCTAAACACAAACCAGCTCTATTGATCCCTGGGGCCTGCTCCCCTCCTCCATCCCATATCTCATTTCCTAATTGCAGTCTGCTTTTCACGCTGATTTATCACTGCCAGTGCAAGTGGTTTCCTGTCCATATTTTATGGGGAAGCTTGACCCCAAAGCTTTGCCCTGCCATGGCAGGCAGGTCCCAGTGATCCCCAGCACCGCTGTGGCTCGCTGGTGGCACAGCAAGGCTGGCACAGACACTGCTGTGCCTACCCAAGGGCTGGGTAATGCCAGGGGAATGTGCAAGGCTTTCCCTGCCAGTGCTGCAGCTCTGCCTGGTCCCTGAGCAGCACCCAGGGATGCCACAGTGCCAGGAGATGGCTTCTGCCTCCCTGGTGGCTCAGCTCACTGACCTAATCGGTGAAAAGGAAGGAGAAGAAGAAATATTCTGAAATTAAAACAGCAGGTTAAGAATGGATGGGTTTTTCTCAATCCAAAGGCTAAGATCAGCATTCCAGGATCAAAAAAAGGCTTCACCTCAACTCCTTTACTGGCAACAGAGGGCAGACAGAGCAAATGTGTTCAGCAACAAGCAGCTTTGGCTGCCCTTCAGTAACTCAGTGCACAAGTCAGGGGTCTGCCTTTTCTCAAGAGATTATGAGAGCTTGATTTAGAAGCAGAGCCAAGTCTCAGTGATAGGATATGGATCCAAGTTCCCCTCAAGGTGGGGGGAAGTTTGGACTTGGGCCCAGCCCCACTTTGATCCAGCAATTTTATAGCTTGGCATGGAGGGAAGGCTGAATACACAAACAAAGCTGTGCTGTGGAGCTCATTTACTGTGTTTCCATAAGCCACACCTGGCCAGGGAGAGACCAGCTCTGCACTGGTGCTTTTATCAGAGAAAGTGTCTCACTGTGCCTGGTCTGAAGCAGAGAGGACACTTAGCTCTCTCTTATCCAGCATCCTCTGATTGTTTAAGGAATTACACAGAGAGTGAAAGGCATTTGTTCAGGACAAACAAAAAATCAGAGAAAACTAAAGTCTGTCCAGGGCTGGAACAACACAAGAAAATGCAGTGTTTGGTTTTGATGCCTTAAAATTGCTGAATTTTCTGTGCCTGTGTGTTCTCCTCAGTGTGAAGTTTCTGTTTGTTTATGTGACATTGATTGCTGGCAGCAGTTCTGCCCTCAAGGTCAGTCCTTCAGGGAGACTTGAGGCAGGGAATCTATGCACTCTCTGTAATAAGAAAAGCTTGAAAGGACTACGCTGCAACTGTGCCAGTGCATTTTTCCAAGTGTTTCCTCTTTATAGGACTCCCTATTTTCATCCAGCATACTGAATCCTAATAGAGCTACAAGATAGGCTGAGCAGGGCTGTTCACATCTTCAAATGCAGTTTTGGGTAGCAGTATTTCTTAAGGTCTAATGAATTTGTACCTAAAACTTCCGTCTGACAATCACAAAAAAAAAGTAGCTTCCAGGGTTTTTTTACAGACATTCCTGTGCCATGCTATGTATGGCAGAGGAGCAGGAATAACTAATTTTAAATCACTCATTTTCTTGCTAATGCAAAATTATTGTCCTCTAGTCTTAAATTTAGCCACCTTTTAAATATCTCAGATACCAAGGCTTTCTGTCACTTCTCCTGGCAAATTCACACAGCAGTAGTTCCTAATATCAGGAGGGTACCTGATAACCTTTCAAAAAATCTATAAAAGGAACATAAAAAATGCATCCACAACAAACACTCAAAACCTTCCAGTATGAGAAAATTCCCAGAAGACCTTCAGAGAAACAACTGCAAGGCCAAGGTTGATATTTCAGCACAGTCAGGATAGCACAAAACAAGGTGCAGGCAACAAGAAGATGAGAAAATGCCAAGCACCAGAGCAGCCTGGAGAAGGTGATGGCCCACTGCACCAGGCAGTGGCCATTGCTGCAGAAAACTTCTCTCCCAAGCCTGCCCTCTATTTTAAAAGCATTTATTTTTGAATCAAAGAAAAGAACAATTTCAACATTTTTTCAGGCTTGCTCCTTCTCCCCCCAAATTCTGCTTCAGCTGGAGCAACTTGCTGAACTCAGCTAAATGTATAAATAGATGCTACTGCCCTTTTTTGTTCACCAAAGACACAGATGAAGGAATATGCTGCTGACTCAAAAGCTTGTAGGGAAGGCTCACTGGAATGTAACAGCAACTCTGGGACCACTCTGGGACCAACAAGGCAGACACGCTGCACTCTGGTTGTTTCTGGGGTTCCCAGGACAGAGGAGGAATTGATGAATCTGACTCTATTTTCTTAGATGAAAGCAGTAAAACAGGAGAAGTAAATCAGACAATTATTATTTACATTTTTCTCTGAGGCCTCTCAGCTTCCCAGGAGAAGAATCCTGGGCAAAGAGATTTTTCAGAAAATATGAATGTGACACTGCACCTTTTCTTATTTTTAGAAAAAGCCAGGAAGGGGTTTCTAAAAGAAGCTGGTGCTGGATACCACTGACAGAGCAAACAAACACACCAGCTTCCAGCTCAAGAAGTAGAAGTTCCCTCTAAGTGCTAAACAGCCAAAGGGCACCATCACTTAATAAGCTGCTGGGCCTCCCAAAAGCACTGCAGCTGGTACAAACTCCTTCCCTCTTCCCAAGCCTGGCACAGCTCTCCCTCAGCAGCTGCCACAGGCCTTGGCAAGCCCTTTCCAATGCACAAAAGGATGCACACACTTCAATCTGAGACTGCATGAAGGATCACACAAGCTCAGGCTAACCCCTTCAGCTTAATATTCTGTCCCCAACACTAGATCCCAAGGGAAGGGCAATAGGGCAAGCATATAAAGATATTTCTTCTAAATAATCTAGCCATAGCAATCAGTAAGTTCACAGGATGCCACACCAGTAGCAGCTTTCTATGGAACAGCCTCCAGCATTTTCTTGTTTTTCTTATTTGAAGCCCTGAAACATTTTAGCATCCACTGAGTCAATAGGTAAAACAATGTATGCCTGTTACCCACTTTTTAAACTAAAAAAAATTAAATCTGCATCACCATTTCCTAGTCTCTACTCATAAAAGAAATTACAAAACAAACCTACAGCCATGTTTTCTTGGCAAATGACAGCTTATACCCATACCCAGCAGGGGAGAAAGAACTACAGGTTTTGAAGTTCAAAGTGCAGTATTTGTCCTCTCAGTGGTGCACACATGTGAGAGGATGTACAGAAACTGGGATTTTCAGCCCAGTTACAGACTGAGATCACAGTTGCAGCTGTTGTCTGGGAGTGTGCACAGCACTGATGCCTCTCACACTAGAGATGATTTTCAGCAGAGCTTGTGCCTTTAAGAGGAAACACCCTCTGGCTGCAAGGTGCCTGGGAATTTCCATGCAGTGGCTTTGGGCAACTCCTCAGCACAGCAACATGAAAGCAGAACATGCTACAGAGCCCAGTTCTGAGCTGCATGCTCAGCTTCAGCCAAAGCAGGGCCTCTGGGAACTCTGTTCTTCTGTGAAATAACTGATGCAAACATGCATTAGCTGGTTAAACTCTCCCTAGGCTGACAACAGCTATTTTTGTCATTTGCTCTGCTTGTCTCTTCCCGTGTATATGATTTCCTACATTTTTCATCCCTTTTTTTCCAATCCCACCTCCTTAGGACCTCGGGAAAGGGTAGTTCTTTCAAGCCCTTGTGTGCTCTGCCCTTCTCTGCAATGCCTGAAATAGAACATTTCAGTGAGTGTGAGGTGAGGGCATCTGTAATGAAATGCCAATTGCTATTTCCTGTGGATAAAAATAGTGCATCTGTCACTTAATATACAAAATCCTCTGTGTTACTCCACACAAAGCAGGCATTTTTGAATTGAAGCTAAAAGTCAGCATGGAAGGTCACATCCTTCCATGGTTGCTTATTCTCCACCCAAATGTTCTGAACCCACACAGAATTTATACACTAACACTTTGAACTTTCAGGACTCTGAAAATGGACCTAAGCCTTTGCTCAGTCCCTGTTAAATTTGATCTAGATAAGCTCTCTGGTGATGAGGACAGGCATTTTTGAGCAGTGCTGTTCTCTTTCTGAGAGATGTGAGGAAATTTAGTTTTATGTTAAAGGTACAAAATTTTTTTTGACTGTTTTAACCTTTGATTTGGATGGCACAGCTCATTCTGGAGCCACGAGGAATCTAATTTGATGTCAGGTTTGAAGGGAGGAGAAGGAACATGGAGGTTTCCTGTTTGCTCCCCTGCCCCAGTAAAGTCTGGGGTGATTTGTGTGCTCCCCGTGCCCAGCTCTGGAGAGAGGACACAGCCCCCTGACACACTGACACACACCTGGAAACATCAGGCAACAGAACGTGGATGTGAACCCCCCAGAGCATGAGAGGAGGTTTTTAACTCTGCAACCTAAAAAAAATATAACTTTCTATTCATAACACCCTGCACACAGGTTGCTGCTGCCATGAAAGCCACAAAATCCCAGAGCTGTCCCTAAGCCCAGCCTGGTGCCCGGTGCAGCCTCTGCAGCAGCTGATAGAGCAACTCGTGTGGCTCCACATCACAGCCCAGCTGGGGCCTGGGCACAAATCCTTCCAGCTGCACTGAGGGCTGTTGCCTTTCTAGTTACAGCTCCTCTGAGAACAAGAAAACATCCAGGCAAAATTCATTCTTCAGTGTTTTTACCACATGCCCACTAAAGAAGGTCAGACAGTGCTGTGACTCAGGTACCTCCCTGCTAAAGGAGCACAACTCCTCCTCTTCATTTCTCTTCTGCAGTGCAGACACAGTCCCGGGTGGGAATTAGTTGAGAGCAGATGATTTTGGACACATCTCCCCACACTTTGCTACCCCCACTGGGCTTCACAGAAGGAATCGTTGGTAAAACCACACTGGGTGTTCCCTGTGTGCCAGGAGCAAAGGCAGGTGTTAAGGGTGGCTCAGAGGGGACTGTCACTGCAGGCTTTCACAGCTCTGCTCTTGGGATCCACATCACTGGGGGGTGAAGGTGACAGGACTGCTGGGAGCTGTCTGCAGGGTTCATCTGGCACAGACTTCTCTCAGTTTCAGAAAATGTATTTTTAAAAATTGCAAGAGCAACTGAACATTGTAGATAGTACCAATGTCAAAATAGAAACCTACCAGAAAGGAAGGTGGGGTTATTTCACACTTCTATTCACCAAGCAAAGGTAGAAAAGAAAGAAAATTAAAAACCATCTGTGGTTTTCCGGTTAGAAGAACCTGTTTTACCTTCCTGTGTGCAAGATATAAAGGGACTCTCTAAATTACTCAGTTAACCCAGGGTCTAAAGGCAAAGTACTGGGAACAAATGCCCAAACTATCAAGCTTAAGGTTGAAAAAATAGAAACAGACAAAATACTGTGGTGCAACAGTGAGAATAGCTGCCACCCAAGCACTGCCAGTAACAGGGCTCTGCTAATTACAGCTCTGGTGAAACAGAAGTCTGCTTTTGTTGGCTGTGAAGCAGGTCAGAGCAATTCCTGATGGTCCCCGTGGCACAGAGGACTGCCCAGCACAGCTCAGTGTTTCAGCAAAAGCAAGGTCCACAAACAAGGAGAGAGAAAGCATTAAAAGCATAAAAAGCATAAAAAGCCAAAGCAAGGCAGTAAGAATCTTGCAGCCACTAGATGGCAAACCCCCCCCGAAGTTGGGCAGTGGCTCTGCCTGCTCCCTCCTCCTCCAGAGTCACTGCTGCTTCCATCCAGAATGAATTTTGACAAATCCAATCTTTACGTGTACAACAGGGAGTCGTTTAACAAACATACAGAGTAAATTTGTGTGCAGCCTTATTTTCAAGGAGACACCTGCAGGATTCTCCATGTGGAGGTGCCCAAAGGGAAGGCTGGAGCTCTGTGTTTAGCCAGAGTGGTTTGACAGTCTTCCAGAATGCATGTGAAAATCTCAGAAGTGAACAATTAAAAAAAAAAAAAAGTCAGATTTTCAGTGGTGCTTGAATTGTTTTTAACCCTAGGTTTTCTAATTTAGCTACAGGACAAACACAAAAAATCAATTACCACCAGAATGCTAAGCAAGCAGCATCTGCTGAGGGTAAAACACTTTCAGAGTGTCCAGGAGAGTGAGATGTCCTCACTTTGGATGCCTCAGAGTAAAGCTCATATCATCCCACTGGAAAGACAAACCCCACCCAGAAGCAATCAGTAAGAGGTGCTGTACATCCACACCAGCACAGATAGAATTAAAACTCATTCATATATCAGCTACAGGAGTCACTTCTATTAAACCCAGTGAAGCACTGAAATATTTCACTGATATAATCAGAACATCCAGGAGCAAATCTATAGCACTGCTGCTGCAGCCAAGGGTCATAAAGGGAGTCCTGATGGATCCACAGGTCAAAATTAGATTGATTTATTCCTTCCCACATATATAATTTGGCATTATGACATATTTGCTGGTCCTTTAAGCCCTGGAAAAATGTAAGGACCCAATTAACTGATTTTAGAGAATTATTATAAAAATAAGGAAGGAAATGGCTTAAGCCTATTTCAACCTACTTGCACCAGTCAGCAGCTATGGAATTGGCTGGACAAATCCTTCATACAAGGAAGAAAAGGCCAGAGATTTCTGAAAAGGCCATTAGAGTCCATGCAGGGGAGAAATTGATCCTCTTTGGGTCACAGCCAGAGGCATTGTTACACCAGAGACCCCCTTGGCCTCACAGAGAGCCAGCAAAAGGAGAGCAGCTCCCTGCGTGGCCTGTGGCCATGAACTGCTCAGGTGCCTGGAAACCAAAAAAGCAGCAAATTGCTTTTGTCCTTGATACATACTGAGAAAGTGCTATTTTTCATTATCCACCACAGCAATTTTGTCCATTTTTGCATAACTTGAATCACCAACAACAAAGGGAAAAAATCTCTGAGAAAGAGAAATCAACATAGAATGCAAACAGTATGTCCAGTTTGCAACTGCCCTCTGTTTTTTTTAATTCCAGTATTTACTAGTTTCAGGCATGAAGTTGTTAGTACATTATCTACTTCCTGTTGGAAATCACTGACTGGAAAAGAAAATTTTATTCCTTGTATATATTTATTTTTACAAAATAATCCATTAGAAAAAGTTATCTCTGCTGCTGATATTCAACTTGTCTTTTAATGTCAAGCTTTTAATTAGCTGAAACTAATACTGCTTGTTTCCTTTGTGGTGTGAAAATTTGGTTTCCATCAAAATTTCACACCAGACTAACTTTTCACAAAACAAACTTCAAATGTATAAGTATTATTAGGAAATAATTTAAAAATACTCAATCTAGAATGTTCTCCCTGGCTTATCTCAGGAGATTCACCACAATCTAATTGAAATATGATTAAAAAATCAAAGCAGCTCTTCTTTTTCGTCTGAAAGCCTTCCTTATATTTCTACAAACTTAGATCTGGAACGGGTTTCCAGGCAGTTTTTGCTGAGGACAGGCCCAACCTTACCCTTCATTTGTGCATTTTTCTTATGCCTGGCAAGGCAGCCTCCCTGCTGGGAGAGTGTTTGATCAGCAAACAGATGTCCAGCCACAATTAACACAGGGCAATTAGGATCCTTCCTGTGCCTCGAAGGGCTCCCAGAATGGCCCAGGAGATGCAGATGTCCCTGCCCAGCTGTGGGTGCACGTGGCTGGAAGTGGCAGCCGCCTCTCCAGGGCTCTCCAGGTAGAGAGGTTTGGGGGAGATTTGGGGCTCTTCATTCACCAGCTCTTCCTGGGCTCTGCCTGGGGCACACCAGGGCTCCATGGAGAGCCCAGAACTGATTCCTTCCAGGAACAGCACACTCTGGGGCTTGAAGAGATCATTTCTAGATCTGAAAAGCTTCCAAGTAACGCCCCAGCCCTGGCCTCTGTGTGCAAGCGCCCTGCCAGCCTGCACGGTCAGAGCTGCAGGAATTTATTAAGTCTTAAAATGCCTTTTGCACGCCTTGTGCTCTCTCATCACACCTGTGCTGGTATCTGGTGCCTTCTAGAAGTGCGCTCTGCCCCTGCCAAAGAGAGGACACCAGTCTGGCTGCTCTCGTGTCCTGGTCCTGGAGCCACGGGGCTGCATCCAGCAGCTCGTGCTGAGCAGCGCGCCGGCATTCCGGCGTGGTTTGCTCCGCACGCCGGGCCTGTGTGCGGGACAGGAGCGGGGCTGTGTGCGGGGCTGTGTGCGGGGCAGGAGCGGGGCTGTGTGCGGGCAGGAGCGGGGCAGGAGCGGGGCTGTGTGCGGGGCTGTGTGCGGGCAGGAGCGGGGCAGGAGCGGGGCTGTGTGCGGGGCTGTGTGCGGGCAGGAGCGGGGCAGGAGCGGGGCTGTGTGCGGGGCTGTGTGCGGGCAGGAGCGGGGCTGTGTGCGGGGCTGTGTGCGGGGCTGTGTGCGGGGCTGTGTGCGGGGCTGTGTGCGGGCAGGAGCGGGGCTGTGTGCGGGGCTGTGTGCGGGGCAGGAGCAGTGCCGCACGGGGATGAACGGGAGCAGGAGCGGGGCACACGGGGGTGAACAGGAGCAGGAGCGGGGCACACGGGGATGAACAGGAGCGGGGCACACGGGGGTGAACGGGAGCGGGGCACACGGGGGTGAACGGGAGAGGGGCACACGGGGGTGCTCGGCAGACGCGGTGCCGGCGCTGCTGCGGCGCAGGACCGGGCACCGAGCACGGGAATGGGGCCGCACACAGCGCTCCACCCTTGGGGTTACTTCACCCTTGGGGTTACTTCACCCTTCGGGTTTCGCTGCACCCTTCAGGCTGCTGCTCCAAAAGCCCCCGTTCCCCCCGGCCGCCGGCCTTTCACTGGTATCTACCTGCAAGGTGCAAGACGAGAGAAAGGGCTGTAAACACTCACGGTCACAAATAGAGTGCGACCGGGGAAGAGGGTGCACAGAAGGAGTGCTGCAATTCCCTGCTTCGTGGAGCATTTTATTGCGTTTCCTGATGGCAACAGATTGATGCTATTGTGCTTGTTAGCATGGTCAGCTTTTATTACAAGGCCATTAAGGGTTTTATCTCTATGTGGATCTTTGAGGTTCTGAGGGAAGGTTTTTTCCCCTGGATTGCCAACCCACCCTTAGAAGCCAGTGCTAATAAAGTGTCTTGTTTCTGCCCCACAGCACACTGAAGGAAGCGTTTGAGATGCTCAAGCAACGTAAGTATTTCCCTGTTCCCTTCTGACCTGGGAAACACAGGCACCCAATGAGTTCATCCTGTTCCCCACACCATTCCCAGCTTTTCTTTCACAGCTTATAGTGCAAAGAGAGGAGGAAAAGGATGCCTAAATGTGCCCAAGGCTCAGTGAAACCCTTTCACACACACAAAATGCAGCACCATGAGAGCCAACAGGACACTGCACCTGGTCACTGGCACCTGCTATTCACACCAAAACTCCCTCTTGAAAAGCAGCTGCTGGACTGAGATATTTTTAGGGCCTGGGTAGGGGAGTTCAGCATTTCTGAAAAATGCAGGGTTCCATTTCAGAGGCACTGAAGCTGACAAATGCAGAGCAGTTCCCAACCATTTCAAACAGCACCAGCCAGGTGCTCTGAAATTCAATCCATCTTGGCTGATCCTTGGAAATTCTCCACGTGCAGCCTCATCCAATGACTGGCCACTGCTGGCAGCAGCTCCCAAGAGCAGTGACAGCCCAGCAGCACAGCCAGGGCAAAGCACACACAGGGATGATGGAGGCCAGAGCTCCTTCCCTCCCTCTGCACAACACTGACCCTCAGTCTCAAAGGAAGGGGGCAGCTGGGGTAAATGGGGCCATGAAGAGACACACTCACTCTGTTCTTGAGCCCTCAGCAATGCCTGCATGCAGAAACACAAGAGGAGACCTTTTTTAAGGCTGTCCTGCTTGTGACAACTCATAAGGCAGTCACATCACAGAAACATCTCCTAAAAAATGTGATTTTATCTTTAAAGACCTTCCCAATGAAGACTGAATATGAATTCTGTTTTGCTTTAGAAATTGAAAGTGTTGGGAACTCTCATATCCAGCTGGCAGTAATGCTGAAGGAAGAACTGAAAGGAATAGAGGAGTTCCGAGAAAGGCAGAAGGAGCAAAGAAAAAAGGTGAGAAACTGGAGAAATGTTGAAAGAGATTGGGTCAGTGGGCTGTGCTGATGACCTGTCTCCAGCCATAGGCTGGGAGTTGTGCAGAAGATCACAAAGCATTGCCAGCATGCCCTGCTCCCTCTATAGACGAGACTGTGGAACAAAAATCTCTTTCTGATCCCAGCTGGAAATAAAGAAGTGCTCTGAACTCAGGAGCCAGAGGCTTTAGTCCCTTTTACTCTCTCTGGTGTAGCTGAAGATGCTGTTATTATTATTATTTCTGTAAGAACTTAATTCTTCCTTTTCTCTTTTTTATACCCTTGCTAATGTTTTTTCTTTGATATGACCTTGCAGAATCTCCAACACGCACTAAAAAAAGGCATAACACAAACGTTTAAAAACATGAAAGCAAATTAATGTCATGCTGAATGCAGCAGCAGTATATGCTGAATTCCACATACATGGAATAAGTATCATCTAGTTGATGTTGTATACTAAAAAAATTTAGTATATTTAAAGCCATTTCATCCCCTTTGACCTCATCAAGCCCTAAGTCTATTGAAAAATAGCTCTCAATAGAGACAGCAGAGACCACTCTCACACCTTCTCTGGGTCTGTGGGCTTGAAGACAAAGACAGGACCATCCCTTCACTCTGACAGCACTGAGTGATGGAGGAGTAAAATAAGTATTCCTTTCTTTGCTAATTTTAAACAGGTGAAAATGGTGAAAATACATATAACCAGTATCCAGTGCCACAAAAATCGTGTGTCTACAAGCCCCTGACACACAGGAACTTGGAATAGCAAAGAATTCTGAATATGAAAGTGGGTGAAACCAATGCTGCTACTGAGATTTGAGGTTGACAGTGATCTGATGAAGCAAGTGAGGCATTAAAAGACAGACAGTGGGCACCAGGTTGATCAGTGTTTGTCCCCCATTCCCTTTGCCACTGGGATGTGCAGAGAGGCTCCCTCCTGCTGACAACTGTAAGCCTGTAACTGACTGGGAACAGTTAGAGGGGCCTGGGGGAAAACAAAAAAAAACCCCAAACCAAAAAAAACACCAACAACAACAACAACAAAAAAAACCCCCACAAAACAACAACAACAACAAAACAAAACAAAAAACCCCTGCTTTGGAGTCTTAGATAAGCTTTTATTCTTTTATTCTCTGCCCAGCATGTGGCTGTGAGGAAGCCAACATCAGACATGCTGGATGGTGGCAGCAGTTTTGGTAACCTCCCAAAATGCTGTGATTTGTACTGAAGCTGTCTCAGGACTGTGCCCAACGTGAAACAAGCATCTGGGTAGCCTGGAGAGAGTTTTGCTTGAGAAGAATGTAAAGATTAAAGGACCAAAAGTCCCCCTGAAGAAAGCCATCCCCTGCCAGTAGGAGCATATCTCATTGTCACATAAAGCTGGGCATGTCACAACTAAAACCATGAAAGAGAACCCAGCACTGTCCTTCCAACACTGCCCAGATGACTCCAGCATGGAAATCAAATCACACTGAGCATAAAGTTGCCAGAAGCAGTGGAATATACAAGAGATAGGAATTGTTTGGATTGAAAATGGGCAGCTACCTGTGCTCATGTGGGTGAGACCGTGGTTTGGTCTGCAGAGATGTGGGACCAAGCTCTGGCAGCAGCAAAGGAGCCCTGCTGGCAGAGCCCACTGTGAGTGGGTGCTGCAGTATTTCATCTCCTTAAGAAAGAAAGAAAGAAAGAAAAAAAAAAAAAAGAAAGAAAGAAAAAAAAAGGAAGACAATGAAGATCTGCCTCCTCTCTGCTATTAATGGAAACCACTGAAGCAGAATTATCTGGGATTATTTTTTTACCTGGCACTTTGATGCTCTCTGTATCACTTAGAAACCTGTCATTTATGAAAGCAGAGTGAATTTTGAGGGAGGTGCTTATAGAAAGGCCCTGACTGTGGTTCTCCTGATGCTGCTGCTGGAAGGGGGAGGAAGAAGTCCAAAGCAAGAACTGCTGACTTGTGTGTGTTTCTTACAGTACGAGTCTGCAATGGAGAGGATGCAAAAGAGCAAACTGTCCCATTATAAGAAAACAATGGAGGTAAGCAGGGAGGGCTTGGGCAGGTTTCCTGATGCAAACTGGCTCCAGTAAAATCTGTATCACATGTACCTCTGTTTAAAGAAAGGTCAAAGCTGTGTGAGTGTGCAAGAGTGTGTGAGGGAGGGAAGATGCCATTCCTGCTGTGAGGAGGAAGCTGATCTTCCCTGCTGCACCCACTGAAAAGTCTCCAGAAGGTTAATGCAGGATGAATCGTGCCCCAGGTCAAACAGGATTTCATTCTCTCTAGGCAAGGGTGCTTAGAGGAGTTAATGTAATTTTTCAGTGTGTGTAAGTGCAATTTTAAGAACAGTGAAGGAATCTTGTAGGCAGGAGGAATCCTCTCCATCTGAAAAGCTTGCAGCTACAGAAACTACTGGCAGCTGGGTTTGGTTTCCAGTGGGCAACTGCCTCTAAAGGAAAGTAGCTGCAGACCTGTCAGTGCTACAGCTGGAAATGTACTAGTGAATTTTTTTTTGAAATGTGGTGGTTCTAATTGCATCTCTAAGATACAGAGATGTTTTGGGGCAAATAAAGATTTCTCCTGTTTCTGAGAACTACACCAAGACTGTTGCCTATGGGGTGCTGGCTCTGCCTCACACTGGAGCAATGGCCAAGGCAACACAGGACAACCCACCCCCTGCTCCCAGATCCATCTCTCCAGGGCTCCTGGGCAGATGCCTGGTGCACCAGTGGTGGTAGAGCAGCCTGTGCATTGCTGACCCCTGCAGGGAGTTGCAGTTGTACAAAGCAAACAATTTCAGGGCTGCAGGAAAGGGATACAATTTGTGCTGTCAGCCCCTATTCCAATGTTTCAGTTCTATTTTCCTGCCTCCTTATGGTGCCATTGGGATTTTTTTCCATTGCCTACACTGGGCACTGATTTGCTGTCCCAGACTGCAAAGGGAGAAGTGGCTGGAACATGTCTGGGGGGAAGGCAGCCTTGCTGCCCCAGGCAGACCCTCACGTGTGATCTCTTTGCCCCCAGGCCAAGAAGAGCTACGAGCAGAAGTGCAGGGAGGCAGACGAGGCCGAGCAGTCCTTTGAACGCACCAGCGCTGCCGGCAACCCAAAGCAAACAGAAAAGGTACCTGAGGTGACAGTGGGGGAAATGGGCTCTGCCTTCTCCAGGTACCAGAGAATACAATTAATCCATTCTGTAGGATGCCAGGGGCTTTGTCTTGAAATTAACCCCAAAGAATCCTCTGGGAAGGGACGACGTTATCTAATTAATTTATCCCAGGCTGTGATCCAATTGCTCTATGAATCCTGAAAGGAAACTGAATGGGATTTTTCTCTGATATTACTCATTACAAAAAAGAAACAAGTCAAAAATATGTCATGCCGTTAGTTTTGCCTTTTGGTCTCTTACACTTAGTAGGCGTAGCATCTTGCATTAAAATGCATATTTTTCCTCAATATTTTTCTCCTCATGGTGAGTTTAATTTCAACTAAATTTACAGACTCAAAAATAAATCGTTGGAAATTAAGGCACTGCAGTCCTTCATTGCATCGTCTTGATACTTGCAGCTGACAATTCACTAACTTTTAATGGGAACATTTTACAGGGAAACAGATGGAGAAAACAAAATAAATGAACTCCCTTTGGCTCGATAAAAATCAGTGCAGTGTAAGCAAAAAGGATCAAAAATCATCTCAAGGAGGCGGGGGGGGTGGTGTGGAGACTCTAAAAACAGCATCAGAACTTTACATTTTATTTCCAGCATTCCCTGGTCTTTGATGAGCAAACCCCTGCAGCTTAGCTGCAAAGAGGGGATGGAATCCTGGCCCTGCCAAAATGACACCAAACATTTCACAGCTTCAATGGCAGCTCAACCTGACCCAGGTCCTTTCATGCAGAAGGATCCCAGGGTGCTCCATTGCCATTTCTTCCCTGAACATTCCAGCATGTTGGGAATGCACAGAGGCAGCTCACAAGCTGTTTAATTCTGCTCAGCACTTGCAAACAGTTTGGGCCAGGAAGCAAATAAGAATGAAACTTCGGTTCCCAGCTTGCTTCCTCCAGGTTTCCCAGCCAGCTGTGATGGGGAATATGATCAGAGGAGCCCCTACCTGAGCCTTGTCTTCAAGGGCAGGGTGGAAGAATGTGTTACACTGATGAGCAGAGCATCACTGTGCTGTCATCCCCATCTGTGCAGAAGGACCTGTGGGTACAGACCTGTCAGTGATGGCTGTTTTCTCATTGGCTAAAAGCTGCAGGTTTTTAAAACAGAGAACTTCTACTTTGAGTGAATTTCACTCTTAGGCTTCTGAGTTGTTATGGGAAATAATCTGGCATTTGCAAAGTATTTTAAAAGCTGTGTGCTTTTCATCTGAGTATTACATGAGGAGCTTGAAAGATGAAGAATTTTAACTGCCATTTATTTCTGCTTACAAATATCTATTAGAAAAGCACATCAAACAATTGAGGGAAAAACAGCTCAGCCAGCAGGCACAGCTTCAGGCTGGATCACACTGGCTCTGAGCTCCTCTGGCAGGGATGTCTGAATGGAAAGCTTTCCCTTGAAGTCACTGCATCTATGGCTGCACCTGGGACATTCTGGTCCCTTCTCCACAGCACACATTCAGCAGAATTGTGCACAAAGCGGGGACAGCCAGGAAGTGCTTGCAAATTAGAGCCTTTCCCCTAGAGGGGAAAAGAGAGCAGGCAGCACAAAAAACTGGGGGCAGAAGCAAAAATGTGTCAGAAGTTAATTTGGGGTGTTTCTTTTCCTGTTTCAGAGCCAGAACAAAGCCAAGCAATGCAGAGATGCAGCAAATGAAGCAGGTGATGCTGTTGCAGCTGAACTGAACTATGAGTCTTCTCACCAAAGATCTACCAGCACAGGATTTTGATAGAACACATCCAAATCACCCAGGCTGTCAGGGTTCCCAGAGTCATCTACCCAGATATTAATGAAGAAGCAACGTGACAGTCACAACATGACAGTCATTGGCATTCACTCCCCTTTGTGGAAATGCCAGTGTCCTGCTTGCATTAAAGAATTTACAGAAGACTTCCTTTAGGGACTTCACCCAGGGAAGAAAAGCTCTTCTTGAAGCAAGTTTGAAAGCACAGTAGACACTCAGTTGGCCCTGAGACAGCTCAAATCACATCCCCCATGCCCATGTGCATGAGCACAGCAGTGATCTCCAGCCACAAACATGTGTGTGCCCAGGAGGACAGGCCAGCACACACCTGATCTGGCTCAGGAGCTCAGCTTGTGCCTTCCTCCACATGGAATAGCTTACACCAAATCCCATGGCTCACCTGGCTGGAATGAGCCTAAGGATGCTCAGTGCCCAAGTATGGTCCAGGCTTTTCATCTCTGAATTGTGTTATCCCTGCCGTAAAGTTTATAACTGATCTGCAAACCATACAGAGAGATCCTTACTCTAGCACATAGCTACAAAGAAAAAAGCACAATAATTATTGTGCCCCACCAGTTACAAGCTCACATATTCTTGTGATACCTAAGCAAACCAAGGCCTGAAGTGTAGGAATCACAGGAAAGGCCCAATAGGAGGAAAGAGAGAAAGGCTGTAGCACTTTTCCCCTGACTGTTGGGTTTCTGTGTCTGTGCTTATTTACAGAGAACGTTTACAAACAGAACATCGAGCAGCTGGATAAGGTCAGGACAGAGTGGGAACAGGAACATATCAAAACCTGTGAGGTAAACATTGACTTTTTGCAGTGATGTTTGCACACTCTTTGTTTTATCCCATTGGAAGATTTCAGTCTAAGGCCTGAAATGCCATCCCAAGGGTTTTGCTGTTTGCTTTATGTGGAGTCTCAACAGATGTCTTTGCAAAATTACTGCAAAAACTAGATCTTATTTAGACATAGCTGCTCCTGTGTCACTGACATTCTCCTTGCTTGGTCAGCATAGCTATGTGAAAATAAAGGAGGGGAATAAGTGCAGAGGTGGGAGAGGTGGAGCAATATATGAACTGCTACATACCCCAGTCACTCTTTATGTTTCATAGCACTTTAAATTCACCTGCAAGAATATTTGTCCTCTGCCATGAAATAATCTTTCAGTTAAAAAGCAGTGGTAGAGAAGTCTCTATCTCCATTTTACTGAGGATGGACAAGGAGCACTTGGCTATTAAGTTTTGCACAACAATTTACAGGAACTGGTTGGCATCCAAATCAGCCACTCATTTGATCACAGTAATCCTTCAAGTACATTTTCCCATCTGCTGAAGTCTGATTTTGCTATATTTACTTGTTGCAGGCTTTATTTCCACATAAAATAAAATGCCAGGAGGATACATTTCCAGTTCTCTGCTTCCTCTTAAATATTCTGAGAGGACTGAAAAGCCCCACAACTGGCAAAGACATTTCCACAGATATGATGCCAAGCCTTAGTCTTCCAAAGATGCATATTTTCTCCCTTCTTAAAAAGCCAACAAACCAGTGAAGCATTCCACAACCTCACACTCTTTTTTGTCCCATATAGCTAAATCTTGGCCAGCCCACAGAGCTTGTGACCTGCTTACTGCTTAATCCAAACAGCCATTCAGAAAGCCAGGGCATCTTTAATGCCTTCTTTTAAAAGTGCTTGTAGAGAGGAGAACTGATACTCTTTGGTTTTGTTTGTTTTTTTTTTTTTAACTAGCAATTAGTACAAAAAGCAGCTTAGAATCCTACACTTGTGGCTGCATAGTGGGGAATGTGGAATTGCTGGGGTTGCTTGGGTCTGTAACTGAGTGCTGGACAACCACAGCCTGAAAATGCTGGCTGGCAAGTGGCAGCTCTGGGGTGGCCCTTGTCACAGGGGCTGTGCCACGTTGTGGTGCAATGCCCTGGTTCTCCAGCAGCACGAGGGATGTGTCAAACACAGCACCCAGCTGTGCTTTCCTGGGTGCTGACAAGGGCTTGGAAGGCCAGAGTCACTACACCTCCCTCTTGGATTAACTGCATTTCCTGACAGGACCCCATTTACCTGGAAAATTCCCCACTGGCTCTGGTGCTGTTTCAGCAGCCTCGAGGGCCACAGGCTTTCTGATCAGAACGAGCATTGAAATACTCATCCTCCACCTTGCAGGCTCTCTTTAATTACTCTCAGAAACCAGTCCCCACAGCAGCTTACTCCCTTGACAGATTCCTTTTTCTGGATTTGTTTAGTTGGTAAGTTATTAGATGGCAGGAAGCATACCCAACTGAGTGTTCTGCTGAATGTTGTATACATTTGTGGTGTTCTGGACATAATTACTAGCAAATAGAGATGGAAGCAGATGGCTGGAGGCATCTGAGATTTTCACACCTCATAGAAAACCAAAACTTTGTTCTACTTTTAACAGTACAATGTAGAGATCAGGGTGATTTGGTTTTTTTCATGTTTTTAAAGAAAGAGCTTATCTGCCTCTTCCGCCAAATCAGTTCACACTTCTCTCTCAGCCCCCTTCCCTCTTCCTAAGCAGTGCAGCAACATGAGGAAGCCAGACAGATGAAGGAAGGGAATAACTCTGAAGACAGAAAAATGCCTTCTCTTTACCACAAAAACAACCTTCAATATGCAGAGTCAACTCCAGAGAGCCTCAAGTACTTTCAAAAGAGAAAAGTTTACAGAGACATTTTAGATGGCAGAGGTGAATACTTTTGCCTCTACCTCTAACATAAATACAACCCTTTCATGCCAGTACTCTACTGATCTGTTAAACATCCAGATTTCAGTGATGGGCAGACAGCACCCTGACTCTGAAATCCTCAACAGCAGAGGTAGCAGTCAAATCCAGATCTGGATTCCTCTCCCCTGCTTTGTTTTTATCTCTAAAATATAACTTTAATTTGGTGCAACCAATTAGAACAAATTTTGAGCACGAACAGTAGATGTAGCTTCACCACCCACTGAAAAAACATCCTTTACCATGGTGCCCTCAGCACAGGTTTGCATCCCCAGCCCTGTCCCACCTGCAGAGCCAATAACTCAATGCCACGAGGCTACATCACATTTCCTCTTTGGCTTTAGGTCTTCCAGCTGCAGGAGTGCGACCGCATCACCATCCTGCGGAACTCGCTGTGGGTGCACTGCAACCAGCTGTCCCTGCAGTGTGTGAAGGATGATGAGGTACAGCCTGCCCTGCCCTGCCCTCCAGGGGAACATCTCACTCCTGTTCTCCCAGAGGCAGCCCAGATGCATGTGTGCATGCAGGCAGTCTGTGGCACAGACTGTCACAGTGCTGGGTGGCACTGGCATGTGTGCTCCTTGGTGTGCTGGGCAATGCTTCCTGCTCCCAGCACACTCTGCTGAGTGTTTTTGGGCTCTGACACAATTTCAAAAAAGGCATCCAGTCATGGCCTCAAAAGTGGAAGATGTAAAGAATACACTAGATTTGACTTTGAATGGTTGTTTCCTGCTATTAATTTCTTTATTGAAAAGTTCTGGACTGCCTTTGTCCCGCTCTCTTTAAAGACTACGCAGAGCACAAACAGGTTTACAAGAATATTGGTACAGGGGGCAGGCTAAAGAGCAGCCAGGCCAGACATGTACCAAGTATGAAGTGTTTCTAAAGGGGACAATTACTACAAGAGCATTGTTTGCTAATTCAAGGTGAAATGTTAAAAGTGAAATTAAACTCTTGGGTTCTGTTTTGTAGATGTATGAAGAGGTTCGGGTCAGCTTGGAGAACTGTGTTGTAGAGTCAGACATAGACTACTTCATTAAGACAAAAATGACAGGAACACAACCTCCAGGTAATTATTCCTACTGATCTTGTCAGATGGTTTGTGCAGTGCATGTCCTTTGGAGGTGAAACCAACTGGAGGAATTTCTGCTCCAACTTTTCTTTCCCACCTGCCATGGCTCACTTCCCCCACACTGTGCTGCCATCGCTGCCTGAGTGATGCTCTAAGTGGGATAGCAGAATGATCCAGCTTAAAAATAACCCTACAAAGAAAAAACTTGTTTTGGCTTTGCAGCCAGGCTCATTTCACAGTACAGCTGAATTGACACCGCTAAGGAGGTGGCAAATTGCCTTGCAGAAATGGCAACTTCAGCTTCCTGCAGTGGTGACAAGACAGAGCCACCTTACCAAGGAACTGCACCCCTTGGCAGAGGTGCTGCCTCTTCGTTTGCAGCACAGAGAAGTTTTCTATTCTGTTCCACACGCCCAGTGGGGAATAACAAATTTTCTGCTCTCAGGAAGTTTGCACAAGCCAAGGCTTTGGCTGGGAGAAATTCTGAACAAAATTGGCTTTGTCCCAGCACACAGAACTGCTGTCAGGTTCACAGGCTCTGCCCATTCAAGCCAAAGCTGCCTTTTCCTTGACTTCAGTGTTCAAAACCTCTGGTCTGAAATGGAGACCGACCCAGCACGAGGCAAGAGCAGCTGGAAAATGAAAACCTGCTGCTCCAGGGCAGGAGTTTTCCAAACATCCTGCAGGAAAGGAGCTGTCTGATGTGTCACATGGCCAGACACAAACCACACCCGAGGACTCCAACAGGCAACACCAGAGAGCCACATACACCTTTCCATGCTAGGAGCTGTACAGGCACAAAAGCAGCAGTGTGAGGGCCTGATCCCTGTGGATAATTATCACCTACAAGAACACTGCAGAGCTCCAAGCTGGCAGGAATTACACCCCAGGCCCTTCTTCAGCAGAGCTGGGTGCTGCCACTAACTCAGCACTGAGCTATCTGAGGCCTGCTTTTCACTCAGCCTTTTTGCCATTTGTCTTATGGTGACTAAAAATTGGGATTTTGGGAATTTTTAAAAACTAATATATTGATACTGGATGCCATTTTGCTGCTATAGATTATTCTTCTTCACATAGGAGATTTAAATTCACTGACAAGGAGAATTTACCCAGGAAAAATGACACTTTCAATGGCAGAGAGCAGAACTGTGCCTTGCAACAGTGTGAAACAACTTCTGTATACTAAGAAATGCATCATTCTCAGCTAGGTTTTTTGGTTTAGGTTTTTGGGGTTTTTTTCCTGTATGAGATTTGTCATACTCCAGTCACCTAGGAAATTTCTGCAAAAAGCTCTTGGCCATGTCAGAGTCATTTCTAATAAGAACTAGGTGGAAAAAACCCTTGAGAGTTTTATGGAAGGCAAAGAAAACCTGACTTGGTATTTTGTTTATTTTTTCCACCTTCTAGAAGGCAACATGTTCTGGAAGCAATGTCCTAATTTCTCCACAGCTCTGGCTAATGAGTGTGCACTGTAGCACGTGGTGAGCTGTTGATCTGTGCTATTATTTACAAAAGGCAGGAGGAAACCCACATGTAATTTTGCATTGTGTGGCAGAAGACCTTCATCCTGACCAGACCTTGATGGTCTTGCTCACTTCCTTTTCTACCCAGTCTTACAGTGCCCTCTAGGCTGGAAACTGCACCAAGGTGACAGTGCAGAAGAGCAATAGGAGACCCTTAAACTGGTCAGAAAAGTCCCTAATTACCATGAGTCTTATTTGTAGGGATTCTTCACACTGCAGCTCTGTGTGGCAGTGTGAGAATGTCAACATAACCTTTAGCCCAAGTCTAATGTCTTTCTTAACTTGCTGGTATCAGGGCTGAGATAAAACACTCTCACAGGCTTCACTCGTGTTTGTTTGGCTCTCACCGAGCGGGCAGAAAGGCTGCGGGGCCACCAGCTGTAGGAATTGCACTGGGAGCTCTGAGCTGACAAATAAATCCATCTGTAACTATTTCATCTGTAAAGTTGCACTTGGAAATGGTCTGAATTTCACACTTAACGACACCGTAGGGGAGAGCGAAGGAACTGCAACCTAAATGTGTTTGAGAGAACAAAACCCAAATATCTCTGGGTAAACAGCAAATAAACTCTCAGGAGGCGGATGGGGGAGGTATGAGAGGTGGGGAAACACACGAGCAAACAGCAGGAAATTGCTCCTTATTGCTGCAGGCAATAACACTCCGAAATCTCCCCGGCTCTGACAAAAATTCCTGACTCGATACACTGAGAAAAGAAGAAACAAAATGTGCTGCAGCAAATTCTGCATGGACCCGGTTTAGGGCACTCAGTGACCATACTCTGCCCCCTTAAATCCTGAGCTTTGAGGCCATAGAAGAAACAGCCATGGAGGAAAGTGCCTTCCTCGTTAGGGTAGCTCTTGGGATGGCCTCAGGCCGAGGTGCCCCTGGAATGGCTTTTGCCAAGCCCCCAGGCTCCCCTGAGCTGCTCCATCCTCATTCCAGGTGAGGGCAGATTCTGGTTTGCTCCAGCAGCCCCAGGTCACATCCTGGCAGGGAGAAAAGAGCTTTTCTCGCAGTGTTTCCTGCTGGAGCATCTCGTTTTCCTTGCCCTGCAGATGCCATCGGCTACGAGAGCTACTACAGCCGGGAGCCGGGCCGGCGCGGCAGCAGCCCCACGCAGTCCTGCGGCGTGATCAAGAGGTGAGCCCGCAGATCTCCGCAGCCGCGGCCGTGCTGGGCACAAAGCGCCGCGGCAAGGGCTCTGCTCCTCCCGTGCAGCACGAGGTGTCCGTGGGTGCACGGGAGAAGTGAAGGTGTTGAAAGGGAGTGAGAGCAATCGTGCCGTGCTCAGGCACTCCTTCCCTCCTTCCCGCTGGGCCAGGGCACGGAGCACCAAACAAGTTCGCTCCAGGGAGGGTGAGGGTGAACGCGGCTGGGAGCAGGGGCTGGGAGAGCCTTCCTTTGGGGCCGTGCCTCCGTGCTTGCTGAGCAGAGCAAAGAGCTGCTCTCGCACCAAAGGGGGAAACACAGGCTGGAAAAACTGGGATGGTCACAGAGGCAATTTTCCTAATTTTTGCTAGTAATGTTAAAACATGGATTCAGTTATAACAGCAGAAGAGCGTGGTGCCTCTGTTGGTTTAAATATTTTATACTAAAATGGCAAATTCTCAGTGGGGAGGGCATCACAGTTAAAGCAGAGAGATTTAAAATTTAACAAGCCCTATGACATGGCAAAGACAAGGAGCAGGCAGTGATCTCCCCTTTGGAACGTGGTCCAGGCTGGCCAGGGAGCTGCTCAGGGTTGTACACAATGCTTTGTTTTTCAGTTGGAAACTGGATCTTCCCGAATAATGAATTCAGTGCTGCATCCTGTGCAGTTACATAAGACAATTGTACTGCCATTCAGAGCACCACTGTGAGCAGCATGGGCAGGGAGCCTGGAGAGACTCAGCCTGAGTCTTTCAGGAACTCTTGAGAGAGGATATCCATGTTCCAGAAAAACTGAATGTTCACTAGCTGAGAAATCAGACCCTTTAAATATGCCTCAAGCATGCAATGCTATTTCTATCTCTGCTTGAGAATCCTAACCCATTTTCTCACTTTACTTAGTCTTCAGTACCCAGCTGTGATACAGGAAATAACTAGGGATAGATTAAAATAAAAACTCAAACTCACAGCTTTTAGAAAGGCTTGTTACACAAGCTCTGTATTTTAAATTGTATCAGGGTTTTCCTTAAACACAAAGAGATATTAATCTCTTATAAGCAACTCTTGTAAGCAATTTTCATCATTTCAACATTGTGGATTAATTGGAGTGTCACGCCATGAGCCTTTGGGTCTACAAAAAAATATTATCTGCTGCATTTCATGCACAATTTAGTGAAGGCTGATGGTTCAATAGTCTGCTGCATTTTTAAAAATACATTTTTAAAGGATGGTAAATATATCTACAGCATAAAAGAAAATAGAAGGCCATGGGAAGAGATGACATCTCCTCTGAAGCAGATGGAGGGAAGGCTGAGTCAGAGCTGAGATGAAGGAATGCTCATACCCAGGCCTGTTCACTCACTTTGGTTTTGGCTTCTCTTGGTTCTGCAGATTCTCTGGACTGCTGCATGGGAGCAGCAAAAACAACACGGAAACAGCCACTCCTTCAGCCCCTCCTCTGGGTATGCTCTGCAGGAAATCAGTGCACCAGATGTGTTTGGTTCAGATCGTGTTGCTAAACCAGGCTTTGACATGGAGCAGAAATGTACAGCAGATATTCACATGTTGGCAGGCAAGAGTAGTCTGGAAATTAATTTTGCTTGGATGTGTATTAACAAATTTCCCAGTTTTAAGTGCCAAATAATCCACAGAGTCTTCAAAACCTCCATCTAGGCAGGGGGGGCATGTACATTCAGAGCAGCAGTCTGACATAGATATTAGTTTTCTCCTTGTGTAGCATAACTACCACTAAAAAGCCCCACAGAATACATAAAATTTTTAACACACCGGGCACCTGGCTTATGAATACAAATATCCATCTCACCTCACAGTTATATTGTTATCTTGTAATCCTTATAACTAGGAATTTATCAGATGATATTTAAAACACAGAATTTTGACTATGTAAAAGGTAACAGTTTATTACATTTTTATTTATTTGATAGTAAACAAAAGTATTTTAACTGTAGTTCTTACCAAAAGAAAAGTTGTTTTCAAACAGCTTTAAAATCAACTGCCTCTGTCAGCCCTGCCTGCTTGGGCACCCAGAAACACAGCCCAGACTCTCTTGCTGCATTTGGTGCTCAGCAGGGGAAGCCCCCAGGCCGATGCTGGGAAGAAATGAGAAGTTTCCCTACTTACAACAAGCTGTATCAAAACAAAACATCAGCAAAAAAAAAATTATGTCCATGACAAATAGCTGTGTGAGAACCATATAAACAATTGGAAAATATCTGGTGACCCCTTGGCACAGTATTTTCCATTTTTCTCAAGGGGAAAAGTCCTATGTAAGCCAGGGAACTGCTGGAATTTTATACCCCCAGTAGCAATTTGTTAATCCATTTTAACCAGTGTTTCCCTCCTTGGATGACTTGGATTGTGTTTTACCAGGGGGAACATTTTTCCCAACCTGAGGCTGAAGCTGGTTTCTGACCTCCCACAGAGTTCAGTGGGTGTATTGTCATCCCATCAGTGGGGGACAGTTTTTGTGCAAGATTTACCTACAGCTCACAGCAGCTTTTCTATACGTGTGCATCTCCAGGCAGAGGGAGAACAGAAAGCCTTGTATTTGTGAACTCTTGCATATGATCCCACGCCTTTATAAGCAACTGAACTCTTTGTTTCTGTGCTGGGTGTTTCTCCTTATTTCCCCGTCCCCTTGCAGAGAGAACAGAAGGAGTCTATGCATCCATTCTGGTAAATGAAAAAGCTGAGATCACGTCATCACAGGACTACAGAGTACTTTATGACTACACAGCCCAGGTAAAAAAACGCTTCAAAGTAAACACTTCAGAGAGTCACAGTTAAAACAAGTGATGCTGACTGAAACATCCTGAAAGTGTAAATTCTGTGAAGGAGATGTTACTGTCATCTTACAGCCAGGGGCATGAACTGTCCTGCTCCAGTTTAGCACTGGTTCTCCATGCTGGAGAGGACAGAATCCCATAAAAGACATTCTTTCCCTGTACTTCCATGTTGCAGGCTGCAGAATCCCAGTGGATGTGGTTCATCTGCCAACAAAAGGCTGTTAAAGAGAACCTAGATCCTGAACTGGGATATTGAACTCTCCCTGGCTCCAGTCCTAGCCAGGCAGAATACCATTAGTAAGAGGTTGTGAATGGACTGGTTATAAATATTTGCTAATTCTGATGGACTCCAGAACCTGGACTCCAACCCCACTTGCTTTACATGTCAATTTAAAGGTTCCTTTTGTTAGTTTTAGATCAGCAAAAGAAGCAGCATTCAGGAGGTTTTATGTCTCAGTGTAGAGAGAGCCTCACACCAAGGGACCTGCCACCAACAGCCAACATTGAAGAAATGTGACAGTAACAAAATGGATAAATGCCAGATAAATTATGAAAACAGAGAAAAGGCTCAAAAGGGGCACTATCCTTTAGGTACAGCAGTATTCCAATACCTTTTATTCAACATTGGGGTTTTTTTCTTCATTTTAAACTTTCTTTTATTATTTACATGAAATTTCGTGCAAGCACAGTTGAAAGCATCTCATTGTTAATGGCAGCTCCCCTAAGGAGAATACTGGATCACCTCATTACTCCAGGAGTCCCTTAAAACTGTGCCTCACAGGGATATTCCCTGCTGAGAAAAGAGCCTGTTACTGCCTTTAGTATATTGTATATTGAGGCCTGTCCTTTTTTGAGTCCGTTCTTACCTACTCAGGTGCATTAAATTCAGTTTTAGCTGACACCTCAAACATCTCTGGAAGCCTCCCTTATGCTGTTTTCTATTTACTACACTGTGGGCAGCAAAGTGGTTTCCTATGGAAAACAGGACAGCACCACTGAACACTGATGGCTGCCTGGGAGCTTGGGGATTATTTGCAACTGCTGCACTTGTCTGGGGATGAAAGTCACTGCTGGCCAAGAGTCACTGTCCCCCACTGGTCACTGCTGTCCCCTGCTAAAAGAGCTGAGAGACCTATTTCAGGCATGGATTAGCAGAGGCACTGTTATCCCCCTTGGGAATTAAGCTGTGCTCTATTTAGCAGCACCTGCAGACTATGCAGGTCATGGTGAGCTGCTTTAGGAGAGTGGTGTTTAACCCCTTCTGGACTTCCCAGTGATAAAACCATCAGGTTGTGCAGGAGGAGGCACCCTGGAGGCATCCTAAAGAAATAGCCAAAACGCTTCATCCCTCCCTGTGTGGTATTTCAGAACCAGAAGGACACTGGCAGACTGTTGATGAGGAGCAGGATTTAAAAAACCCCACCAGACACTTCTTGGGCCCTCCTGCTGTGTCAGGCCATGCCCATCTCTTTCCCTTTTCCTTTCAGAACGTGGATGAGCTGGACATCAGTGAAGGAGACACCGTGGTTGTCATCGCAGAGAACGACGACGGCTGGTGGACGGCGGAGAGGAACGGGCAGCGAGGCTTCGTGCCAGGCTCTTACCTCCAAAAGCTTTGATGAAAGAATCCCCAGTCCTCAGACTTTACAAAGATTCTGTTACTGAAAACAGCACCCAAGGTCTGCTTCAGCTGGCCAAGAGCATCCCAATAATAATGTTTTTTACAACCACCAGTCAGGAAATAACCAACTGACCATGCTTTTCTCTCCCTTGCTCCTGCCTCATCCCATTATTCTCCTGGCCTACACTATCTGAAAAAACTCCTGAGAGATTAGGGCTTGCATGTTTTGGCACAGTCCTACCCTCAGCACACTGTGCTGCCAGCAGCGTTGCAAAGCTTGGTGATCCTGGGAGTAAAATCCAGCCCAGATCTCAGCTGTGCAAAGGGAAAAATCACAGAAGCAAGTGCAGTTGCTGCAGGCTGGAGGACTGTCCCCAGCCAGCCTGGGAGCCACCCTTATGGTCACAACAGCCACGTTCTCTGCCACGGATCCCTTTCTCTCCATGCACAGGCCATGCTGGCATTTTTGACAGAGGATGGTTTATCAGTCATGGATGAAAATACAAAAACAGTGAATGCACCCAGAGAGGAGCACCTGAAGGACCAGGACACATCTCTCATAGGAAATCTTGAGACAGTCCCCATCACAACCATCTCCTAACACAATGAAATCCGTGCTAACCCTGGGCTCTGCTCTGCTCTGGATTCTGGGACAGATGATGTGCCCAAGGCTTGCTTTTGTCTTGCCTGGAAGGTTTCCCTAACGCCTCTCTGGGATTATGAAGTTTAAAAATCCAGCATCACAAACAGCAGCTGAGCCAAGCCTGCAGCAGTGCTGCACTGCCCTGATTGCTCTCCTCTGAGCCCCAGAGAATTGCCAGTTTCCTCTCCCTGCAGTGTCAGCAGAGCAGCCTCCCTTCCACCCGCTCAGCCTCTGCTGCCCAGGCTCCTTCTGCTGCCTGCAGCCTCTGCACCTCTGCCACAGGCACATCCTGGGCTCATTCTGCAACAAAACCTCTTCAGAGATGGTCCACTGTGCAGGTTCAATGCATTTCACAGATTTCAGCTCTATCAGTCTTTCTAGTTTAATATTTAAGAATGTTTCCAACTGTTACTGTACTGTACAAGGGATTGATGAATAGTTTCTGCCATTCTTCCCTTTTTGGCATTTCAAGATAGTTAAAAAAAATTTAAAACCTGGTGATTTAATTTGAGTCAGAGCAAACTGTTTCTGGGGGCAGAATGACTGTTTGCCAAGGTTTCAGGCCTTAAAACTGAATCAAGACAATGAAAATTAATCTTATTGATATCTGAATAATCTTATTGCTATCTGAAAGGCAATGGAGGGACTGTTAGCTCAGACACACAAAAGAAAACAAGAGAAATCGGGACAAAAGAAAAAGGTGTAATGGTCAATGCAATCTTTTCTTAAATGAAACACAGTGAAGAGGCACTTGCAGTGTCTTATTCAATTCTTCCTTCAAGGGTGGAACAGAAGTTCCAGGCCCTTTCCCTTTGGCAGTCCTTGCCACACTCCCCAGCTCCCCCCAGCACATCCACAGCAGGGCTGGAGGGCCCTGAGCCCCTGGCACCAGCACTGGCCAGGCTGGAAGGGAAGGAGAAGCTTCTGTGACACACCTCAAGTGACACAGAGGTGCAGAGTGGGTCCAGCTCAGCCAGGACAGAAGGGGAGGCTGCCTGACAGCCACAGCATCCCTTGTTAGCTACAGCAGGAGAGGAAACCAAAAGCACAAGAGATCCAATGTATTCACTTCTTGAACACTCAGTCTTCCACAAAGAAGAATGTAATGAACCAATAAATAAATAAATAAAAATAGATGGACATTTTGCAGATTATCTTAAATAAACAGAAAAAAACCCCCAAAACCACTGAGATGCACTTTCTCTACTGGTGTGGGACACACAGATTTTGCAGGACTCCTCAATTCCCTGGGGGCCCAACTTCACACAAGGCACTGCAGGGCCTAGTCTGGATTGCCCTGAGACCCAACTGCAGATCATCTTTGCTGCCGTGGACCACATGGTCTACATCACCAACAGACAGCAGGTGGAATGGTGGCTGCTGTTTCTCTCCCATCAAATCATTCCATATTTTTGATGTTAAAGTCAGGAAACCAATTTTCTTTCTACCAATCTCCTCTTCTGTCGGGTAAACACTGTTGAATGGCAAGAGGCTATAGGTATTTCAAACTCTCCCCAGTGTCACAGCATTTGGGTCCCACATGCTAACTCCAGACTGTTCAGGAAATGAAAAAGCAGCAGCAGTGTTTTCTCATGAATCCTCTGCTTCACATTGTCCAGATATGGCTTGGAACTACTTATCAGCCAAATTCTTCAGTTTGCCCTATCTGCATGGCAGCACTTGTCACAAATAGAACAGAGATATCAGGAAATACCCACACCCTAAGAGCATCCACATTTTAGGTGTCATCCATCTACCCGCCCCCATCAGTAGGAAAAGCAGGAAGGTCATTTGTGGTTACTGCCTTAATAACATTGCCCTTATTAACACTTCCTCTCCAGTTTGATAACATTTGGGCAATAAAACTGACACAATTAAGTTATTTTTCAATTATCAGCTAAGGTGGAAGGCTGAAATGGGTCCTTTCCAGTGGCATTCTTATACTAAAGTCAAAACATTGTTTTATTTTACCATTTACTACCAATTAAGGAGAAAAACAGGAAAACCTGTATGAAATAACATTTAACCAATGGCAACCACACGTAATTAGGAAATGTCTGCAAGTACAGGGTGAGGTCCATCTCTGCACAGAACAGATTTCTCATATTAAGAGCCCACAAGCCAGTAGTAACAACACAGCAGTATCAGACTAGAAACAGAGATCCAACAGACCCAGCTCTTGGACAGCCAACACAGCCAGGCCTCCTGCCAAGCTCGGTGATCCATGGAGCCAGCCAGCTTCCAGCATTTCCAACAGCCAGGCAGCTAAGAGGAGCTCAACCTCTTCCCAGCTGGGCATGTAGCAACAGCAGGAGCACAGTGCCTGATCAAGGCTTGAAGAGTTTGCCACCCCCCCAGGACCCCTGCCTTGAGCTCTGTGGTGTGGACAAGCGCAGCACACATCAGCCAGAGTGGTAACAGATCACGGGCATACCCAGGTAACTCTGACCTTGGCTTCCTTCATTGCTGTGGTCTGATGTCACGGTTTGCCTCAGACACCCCGGGTTTCTCCTGAAGTTTCCCTCGCAGGTGTGTCAATCACCTCTCCTTCCCCCACCCCTGCCGGGCACTGGCTGTCAGTCCCGGAATTCCAGAAGGGCTTTGAGTGATTAGGCAGATTCAAGAGATGCCCTCCACCCCGGGGTGCATTGGGCCAGCCAGGTGTCCTTTGTCCCTTGAAACCTCCTCTCCCGTACCTGGTTGGTGGCTCCCTCTCCCTTCCCTCCCCTCTTCCCTGGGTTAAAAGGACGGGCAACCACGCAGCCTGGGCTCTGTTGGAGCTGTTGCTGGATTCAGGGGCCTGTGGGCCAGAATAAAAACTCTGGATGAACACCCTCCATCAGAACTGACTCCTTCACCATCTTCTTAAAGCTTCTCCAGCACAGGGAACCTGAGGAGCGACCCTCCATGGGAGGAAGCTCCATCCCACTACCACCAGAGCTCCAGCATGCCTGGACGTGTCTCCATGTGCCCAAGCTGTCACATCCAGTGTCTCTGGGGTGAAACACCACAGCTGCCACTGCTTAGTTCAGACACAGGGGCCGGGCAAGCCAAGGCACATCCCATCAGCAATATTGGTAAATACCAATACCTCATGTCTCAAGAGCTGAACTCGTGGCCTGAGTCTCCTCTCCAGGTAATCTTCTCCCAGTTGCAGCTCGCACCTCACTATTACTGAATGCAGTTGAAGTGGAAGCACGTGGATCCAAGAGGAGACCACTTCAGCCAAGCACCAGGTGCTGGGTGTCTGACAGGAGCCTGGGGGGCACTGAGGAACACCCAGCTCAGCACTGGTGGGTAACTCACACTCCGTGGTACCACAGAAGCTCCTGGCAGTATCACTGTGCCATGGCTCAACTGAGCAGCACGGGGGAACTCTACATCCCTGCTACCCAAACACGGTGTGAAAAGATGAAAAGTCACTGTTCACCTCCAGTGTGGAGTGGCAACAACTCCGCATGGGACAGGACAAACTGGAGAGGCCTGAACAGCAGCCTAGGCTGCTCAGCACCATCTCTTGTCCCTGGCTTTCTTGTCTCCAGCTCGCAGGGCTGGGGCACTGGACACAAGAGCAGTCACCAGCCACATGAATAGCAGTACTTCCCATGTCCTACACAGGAACTGCACTCAGAGCTAGTGAGCAAGACAGGAAACAAAGCTGTGATGCTGAGTCTTATCTGCCTTCAGGAAAATAAATGCTGGCTAAGGGCTGATGTGCTGGGTTTTGCAGGGGAAGAATACTTGTGCGGAGAATGAGATTCTGGAAGAGGAATTAGTGTCCTGGTTATTAACGAAATGCCAACACCACGTTCACTTAGAGAGCAAAGAATACTCCAACTGTTAGCCATCATCTATTCTTTGTTGGCAATTATCTAAATTCGGCAGCCAGCTTACATTTTGCTCAGAGCCACAGTTACCTCAGATTTGTGCACTCCTGGATCCTGCACAGTGCAAATCTGATCTGTTTCAAGAAGAGCTGGATAATATTCTTCCATGAAATTAGCCAGTTCCATGTGGTACAGTGCTCAACTTGTCCTTCGACCAGCTGCTAGAGGACGGCTGACACCTGATCTGGGACAAAGCTGCAGGGGCACCATTAAGAGCACATTTGCAGCCTGTCACTGCTGGGTGACATGTGGCTGCAGCCATTCCGTTCCTCACACTGGCCCAAAAGGCAAATGTACTGTGTTCTTCTATTCTGACTGAAAGCACAGACTAAATCTTGCTTTTAGATAGAAAACTCTAACAGAAATCACCGTGACCTCCCAGCAAAATCGGCAGAAATCAGAGCTGACATACCTGAAATTTCTAAGGAGAAAGTATCATCCAAAACCGCCAGGCAAACAACTCTGAGCACAGCTTCCAGTTTATAACCAGGATTCCACATATCCTGAGGACTGAGTGTACAAAACCAGCTGGGGGGCAGAGGTGAAATGGGAACAAATACCCTAAGAGGATGTTTGAAGGCAGGAGGAATTTTACTTACCGGATCTAAATGAGCCATTGTTAACCAGATTTGGAAGATTAAACCAACATGCGTATCCCAGCTTTGCTGCCCTTACCAGAATTCAAGCGAACACCAAATCAAGGCAGCCATAAAGAGAAGTAACCAGTGTGTGAATGGGTACAATGCTGAAGGAGCTACAGCTGCAAAAGTGGTGATTTGAAATTCTCTCTGACTGAAATGCAGGCATTTGCCGCAGCCTCTGTCTCAGGGTAAATGGACACAGGACAGCCCAAGACATTCCATCTTAACTTGAATGAATTTTCCTGCGTGTCGGATTACACACTTGGATTGTTCAAGCAGCCCAGGCTAAACCCTTGAATAAATCGATGGCTTCGGAAGCAAAGGTGTGACTCTGGAGAAGTCGCACCTCACCCCTCAACTTCCCCATTCATCATGGGGAGCTTGTAATCCACTCTGAGGCTGAGCTGAAAATCCTTCCGCAACACTCAGCATTTTGGTGATTGTTCAATCTCAGACCCAGCCTAAACAAGCAAGCACTGGGTGATGGTCGGATCAATATTTGCAATGGAAAATGTCATACAAAAGGACAAATTATATTGTGTACCCCGTGCTCGTTTTGTAACAGGACTGGCTGGCTCTGAGGAAGGGGCTACAGACAGAACACTGACTCAGTGCAGGGAGCCTCTGGGGGAGTTCAGTGCATTCCCTTCCACTCTGCAAGGACACAAACGCTCAACAGCTGCATCTAAAGAAGGATTGTTCTGAATTTTTAAGCCGAAAACAGTCCATGGAGGAACTTCTTGGGAAAGTGGTGAACTTTAACCTCGCCAGGCTAAGAAGGCTAACGTAAGAGTGAATGGGAAAGCTTTCAATGCACTGATAGACGTGAGAAGTGCTTTGTCTTTAGAGAAAGGCTGCACAGCCCTTCTTGTGTCTGAGCCCTGGCTGAGGAAGGGAGACTTAAGCGACAGTGACTTTGTTCCGCTAAGTGGCAGCTAAAGGTTTCACCAGGTCACTGCTCAATTCAGCAGCCATGGGAGGATGCAAAACCAAGGAGGGAGCGAAGGCAACTGGAGAAATGCATCCTCCCTGCTCTGCAGGGTCCTGTGCCAGCTTTTATAAGCACAGCACTTATCAGCACAAGTTCTAAATTTAACTTGTGTTTCCTCAGGGTCTGTAACGTATCCTCAGTGCACTTTTCAATGCTGAAGGTGTTAATGTACAGGGGGAAACAAAGCTATCAGGGTAAACGCTGGATTTAAGCTTTCAAAATGGACGTTGCACTCAAAGGGCAAAAGCACTTAACAGAGTGCAAGGCTACAGCTCCAAGCATGCTTCCCAAGGATGGGGCATTCTCTGAGCTCTGGAAGTACGAGTGCCTAGTTCTACAGCGTGTACTGGGAATTCAGTCCTGCCTGTTGCCTGTGAGGTGCTTGGTAAAGGCTGGCACAGGATTCAATGCCCCCTTTGCCACAGCTGCTATATCCCTCTCCTACTCTCAGCTGAGAATGTATGAACACCACCCCTGCACACACCTCATGTGCTGGCAGATTTGTTCAATGCAATTCAGTGGCAGACTCATTCAGACAAGAGCAGATTTTGCTGCTTCCTTTGTTCAGCTGGGAGAAAAACTTCACAACTCCATCTCAGAAGTGGTTTTCTAGAGCAGACTGCTTGTGCATGCAAGGCATCCTAGATACTGTCAAACCCCACAACTGCCGGTGGTTTGCTTAAATGTTTTATTTACATGAGGGA